AGTTTGGCAGAGCCGTACTCTTACCATCTGACCTGAAAGACCACTCACCATACAAATTAATCGGCTTCGTTAAGAAGCTGGGTTTATTTGGTCGAGTGTGAATATGTGTGAGCCACAATAAAACCTTACGGGCTGCGCTGGTGGGTGGATAGACCCACTCACTTTGGACCCAACTTAACCTAACCTGACTACTTTGGAGGGAACAAAATAGAAATTGATGTAGAAATAAATTTTTTGAGAAAAAAATTTACCTTATTTTTTGAACAGATAGCGTAAATAGTGTAAGACTGAATTTGTTGAAAGATGTGAAAGAACTTGCAACAAAAATAAATGATTTTGTTGGAATAATCATTCACTAACTTTTTTCCTAATTCTCTTGGATGATAATGAATCACCATCTTATTATTTCAGATACGAGGCAGCAGTTTGTTGTTACTATTACTGAAAATGAAAGAGCAATTTGGATATGGATGATCATATTTTCGTATGTAGTTCCTGAGTTGGGCACTTTCATCAGGTCATTTCGAATAATTCTCTTCAAAACATGGGTATATCCGACATTTTGGAAAGATTTTCTCCCGATTTGTGTTACAGAACTACTGTCAGCTATCGGAAGTGCCGTATTAGTCTTTGGCGTTTTTCCAGAGTTAGATGTTATAAAAGGAGCTATGTTGACAAACGCTGTTTGTATTTTACCAGCAATATTGGGTAAGTTTTGTCCTTAATGATATATAAAAATTCAAGTAGGTAGTTAATGAGGCACTGAAACTTTCTAGAATAAAAAAATTATGAAAATTGAATCATTTTGGAACTGATAGCAATAATCTCATATTGACAACGCTAATCTCTCATACCATTAAAATCAGAGAAAAATTATAGGAAATCTCACACAATATGAAGAGTATAATCCTGGATCCAGTAACATTTCTTAAGAGTTTTGTTTTGGAGTTGAAACAGATATTATTCATATGGGTTCAATATTATTCATTGTGAGTGTTGATATGGTGAACTTTAAAGTTTCGGAACAAGACACATGTCGTAGCACCTCATCAGCATCGTTTCCAATAACATTATCACTATATGTTGCCGACATGGTCAAATCTGCTCTTGTCAAGATGACAGAACGTATATACATATTCATATGGTCAGTTATTCACAAGCATGGGAATTTAAAAATGAATATTTTCAAGAGAGATCATTTTTTATGGAGAAGCTTTCTGACTTGCTACTTCTTCATCGTTGAACAAAAAATGTAGGTACGTTCCAAAGAAAGAAAGAAAAAATAATCAGTAGTGAATTTTTTTTTCTCGAGAAAGGGTTTTTCCAGTTCTTGCCTGAAAGAAATTTCTGTGAATGCACTACATATATAACTGTATTTATTC